CTTTAGATTTTTCTAACACTTGCACTGGGTTACACACAGATAGGCTGATTTTTATCCATGGAGCCCTAATTAGAAGTTGTTTAGTCAGCATAATCTCCTCAGAGTGCTAATCTGGAAATCAGAATGCTACTGAGAATGATCAGCATGTTGTCTTGAATGCTAATGAATATAATAACAATGTCAACATACTGTTGATAAATATAAAAAATACTGATAAAATCCATTCTACACTCTGTTTTTTACATTGAATATCAAGAACACAAGATGTCCACCTTCAGATTTTGTTTTGTATTTCTAGCTCAAGTTGTCTGCTTGCCATGGTTATAGTACAGAGAATGAAAATATGAAAATGTCAAAATAAAATTTCATTAGGGCAGATTAAAGGCATTTCCCTTCATCCAAGAAATTGTTTTACAACAAAAATACCATTTTGGTATCCGATGTCTGGCCTACTGGAAAATTAGCTTTCTAAAATAGGATTAACATCTGTGCATGCGCTATAGTTTACAAAATAATTTCAGTTTATGGTAAACTTTCGTAATGTAGTTGCTAACTCTTGATCTGGAATACAAAGGGTTGTAAAAATTACCTGGTCAAAATAACCTAAAATAAAATAAAATAGAATTACTTGGTCAATTACTATTGCATAAATAGTCTTACTCACCTGAGAAGTTTCCTTGTTTAATTAAGGACAAGAACACCAGGATCATACCCATAGCTTTTGTATGGTACTCTAGACATAAGAAACATTCATTAGGCCAAACACTTTCAAGTTACACAGGCAAGTTACACTAGGGTACAGGCAAGTTAAACCAGGGCACAACAAGGTTACACTAGGGCACAGGCAAGTTACACTAGGGCACAGCCAGGTTACACTAGGGCACAGCCAGGTTACACTAGGGCACAACCAGGTTACATTAGGGCCGGAGTGCCCTAATGTAACTTAAGAGGTTACATTAGGGCACACATTAGGTTACACTGGGGCACCAGTAAGTTACAATAGGGCACGTCAATATGTCAGTCAGTCAGTCAGTCAGTCAGCCAGTCAGTCAGTCAGTCATAGCGTAAACTTTACGGGGGTTGTTTGGTTTATGCGTGTAGTACCTTTTTGTGTGGTACCTAATTTTAAGTTTTTAAATAACTTGCTTTATTTATTAATGCTCTACATCCCTTTTAATAAATTCACCAAAATATTGAGGAATTTTGACCTTTACTGTAAATTTTGAAGCATTGCTTTTCCGCGGTTTGGGTTTTGTTTCATATAGGGATTTGCCATTGAACTCAAAAGAACTGGGGCCGGCTAAATCCAGTAAACTCTTATTAGAATAAGACTGGAACGATAACTCAACAATAAAGACTAGTCATTGGATGAAGCCGATTTGAATATAATTTGCTGATTAAGGCGGCAGCCGCGCGAGCAAATCAAGCCTTCAAAAGAACTGGTGAGAGTGAGAATTCCGTAAAAATCGTATTTTTTGGCAAAATATTGCCAGAAAAGTGCAATTTTTATTTGACCACTTCAACTTTAAACAACGAATTTACCCTTTTTGGATAGACCTAAGTAATCCGCATCATCTTACTGTAAAAACCGGCGAGGTACCAGCTTTGTACTGGAAATATTTAAAGAATTTGAACGGGCCGAAAAAAAACTTCGCCTTCAACTCGCCAAAAAAATAGGTTTGCACCTTTTCACGTTCATAAAACTTGTTTTTTAGTAAAATCTAAGTGTCAATGCTTGTTTTAAGCTTTTATTCATGATCAGATGAGATGGATTTGTGTATAAAAACCGGCGTTGTTTAGTGCTGGCTTCAAAGATGGCGGCCAAGTTATCGTTCCAGTCTTATTAGAGTTCACTAGTTGTATCAAGCCCGTTTAGCTTAAACAGTGGATAAGTCAAAATTAAATAACACTCTTACATCCTTCTTGAATGTGTCAACTTGAATATTATGCACTGAATATGTAGTTGTGAACAGTGTCTTTGTATTAAGGTTAAAAACATTTAGTTCGCTTCTTGAATAAATCGATAGACTTGCTTTCTATTTTGAACTTAACCACCGTTTAAGCTAAACAGGCTTGATACAACCGGCCCCTGGAAGGCTACCTCCGGCCAGAGGAAACTTCAAAAATATTACTTCAACAAGCGAGCACTAAAAACATCTTTTAGCATAAAGTGCATTTTCCACAGTATTTTTACGATAAAAGCATCCGTGAAAACTACAGAGTAAAGTATATTAAATTTATCTGCATCAAACTCGCAATTAAATTGCCCTTTTTTATGAAAAATGTTGAACGAGGAGTGAAGCCGTGTCAATTCAAAAGTGTTTGCGTGAATTCACTTATTTAATTTCATTGTTTACTATTTAATCCCTCTGAAACTTACGAAAAAACATTCTAACAATATTTATTTAACAACAAACCACAGTTAAATTTTCTTTTTTATATGTTTTATGAGCACATAACAACAAATATATATATTTTTTGTTTTATTGCCTGCAAACCTTTTTGAAGTAGCGATCGTTTTCGAACGAACTGTTTACATTTTCCTTGTAATTTCACCACGCCGCAGTTCAAGGTATGCTTTAATACTGATTAATTACAAAATTATAGCTTAAATCGTTAAAATAAACGATAAATCCGAACGAATGTAACTTCGCCGCTAAATAGTTCATGTTTTCCATATGTTCACTCCTGAAAAGACCCTCGCGAGAATGTCTCGCAACATGTACACGCGTGTTTGGAGGTAAAACACGCGTGTCTGGAGGTAAAATTTGGCTTCAATAATTTTGGCTATTTTAATCAGGAGGTAGCCTTCCAGTTCTTTTGAGTTCAATGGGATTTGCGCAGATTTGCCCCCCGGAACACCTGATTCTTTCTTATACGTCGTAACTGCGCATGTACCACAGAGCCTTACACATTATTCACGATGTCAAAAAACGAGGAGCGACGAGCATTGCTTCAATTAAACATTCCGGGCGTAAAAATCGAGCAATTCTTTGAGAATCTACGCAATTTATCATCTTATGTTATGAACTAGAAATACATGCATGCAAAATCTCCTCGCCCGAAGCAATAAACCTATATATCCATCACTGAAATTCTATTATACTCGTTTCTGCTGAATGATCGAAGTCGTATAAGTAAAATTTTATATCTTGGTACAATTATAATGTCGACTCTCGAGCTATCAAATTCAACTATAATCATAATTGTGCTACGAATAGTTTTAAATACAACATTTTTACATACATACAGCGAAATTTCAATTACTTTTTAAGCAGATTCACCTTTAAAAATAAATACTTTCCAAATCAAAATCATTTCAACGAAATTGACGAAGAAATTCAAAGAGATGTCATACATTTGTTGATAAATCCACATATTAAACTTACAAAATACTTGCATGCTTTAAAATACAAAATCTACCCATTTACCTGTTCAAAAACACTTTAAAAGTGCTTCAAAATCGTGGATTTTTTTCATCCATTTGAATGAAAGTTTTTCTATCCGAAGGCATCTTTTACATTATATTTTATTCAATTTTACGAGTCAACTTTTCGTGTATTTTTAAGACCATCCAAATGAAAAATATTATTTAAAAAAAAAATCATATTTCAAAATATCGGTTATGCTGACGTTAACCCAAATTTCAATTTCGCCAATCGCACGTTTGCTAGTAAACGTTTGCTAGTTACTAGCAAAAACGCCCAACGTCCATGACATAATGACGGACAACTTTCATTTAGCATTTGCATTCCCGGGCGTAATTAAAATCTCCGGGCGGAATTAGTACCCTCGTCCGGTGCTTCGTACCGGCTCGGGGATTACGAGCATTCAATTCAACACAAATATAATTTGGAAGGTTTACTCCATAAATAGAGCAAAGAGGTTAGGAAGAAACGACGCTGTGTTTTTATGCATTGATAGATCTCTTACACTAATATATATTTTAATATGTCGATAGCAAGTCGATACCTGGTATTCTGCACACAGTACATAAATAATACTATACAAAACGGACATTTTGTGCAGTAATCAAATCATTTTGGCGGTATACAGTATTGATTATAAGTATATTGTTTTGTATCGATTTACGCGTCGAAGTATCCACATCATAGACATAATATGCACCGCAGTTTATTTACATTATTTACAACGCAACTATTTTAGTTATTCTTATGAAACGACGGATAAATTGTTGCCATCATATAAATGTAGTGAATGTAGTCACAGTTGTTTGACGAAGAAGAGACTAGACTGAGAAAATCACGCCTGGTTTACATGGGCAACTAAAATTATAATTTAATAGTGACAGTATCCGCGACTAACGTCACTTGAGTACTTTGAGTAATTTCCTTTTGATTAATATTTAACCTGGTTCTTTATATTTTAACTGGCATAAGTCAAAATGTTTACGTTGGGAAAACGTCTGGTTGCTTAGGTATTACAGGGCATGAAAACTTTGCACTATCCTTGGATCCCTAGTTCTAAATTACGGATCCTTTTATGTTTTGATATTACTAGTCGTGTATCGTGTTGAAGATTTCTATTAAAGATGTAACTTCAGGTCTTGATCCAACTTTTTTCTTTAGGAGGCAGAAAGAGTTTATCTTTGGAGAGAGAGTCGTCGTTGGAACGTTCTAGTGCTCAGCTAAAGTTAGATTGGCAGCGCAGATCTGATAAGGAAGAGAGAACTGGGTATGATAAAGAAGAAGAACTAGTTAAGAATTTAACACAAGACAAAGAAGAGGTGAATATATATCAATATGCGAATAGTAAAATGTTACACCCCTTTCCATTGCCTCTACCCTACCCCCTCTCAATTTGGAATCCCGTTGAAGTTTCAGCCACACAAGGTCCAAATAAAGCGATATAATGTTACTAAACTGATCATCAGGACTTCAATGTCAACATTCAGGTTGATAGAACTCTTCTGTGTTTTTTCACATCAGGCGTTATCGTTGGTGAAACAACAGAAACGTGAACTGCTTCACATGGATAGTGTTATCCATATTTTGAAGACACAAAGAGATGAATCAGTTTCTATCCTCAAGCTTCATGGACTAACCGTGCCTTCCCAAATATCAGGTAAGTTTTACACCTTGATTGTAGGTAGGTCGTAAACGCTTAGCGTTGTGTTTTTATACGGCGTATATATGGGGCCCTAGCTCTTCCGGCAGCTGGGGAGTTTAACACAAATAGAGGAAATGATGTAAATTGAACAAAATTTTGTACAAGGTGTGACGGGGTGTAAAATCCTCGAGAAATTTTAAAAATGATCTAAAACATTGGTGCCAAATGAGGCATTTTTTGAGATTGTTCTTGTATATCACAACTATGTAAATATAGTCTCTTTATCTAAATTCGTAATTCAACTAATGATTGTATGCAGTGGTAACAGGAAACTCATCGATTCCAAATTCAGTCTCCGTTACTCGCCGTAAAAAAGTTGTTGAAAATAGATTGCAAGTCGAATCATGCTCCTCTCGTAGTGGCTGTACTTAAAAGCCAGCTGATGTGCTTAACGAGGTAACTGTCGCAAGATGTATAAACTTTAGATGCGGACGGAAATATCAACCGAAAATATCTTAGTATTTTCGAAACTTTACTGATGATATTACTCGAAGTTTAACGCGCATGTAATTTTCACTGAAATAACGCGATTTTTCATCATGGCCAAAACACTTGACACATTCCAAAATTCTTTTGAGTTTGCACTGATGTAATTGAGGACCTACACTGCGCTCGCGAATCTGAAACCTTTACATCGATACCTCCCCCATTGCTTCGCAAGATCTTATCATTTCTCTAGATTTTATCATTCATGCATGTTTCGCAAATCTCAATTGTGACAAAGGCATGACGTTTTCGTCCGGGTTAAGTTCAGACTTATCTTTTCTTGTTGAAGTCGAAGATGTTGGCACACCAGCAGGGAATATGAATAATGAAGAACTTCAAATTCAGAACGAAAATTTGCGTCATGTTATTCATCAAATGAGAGAGGACATGGAGGATTTGACGAAACAGTTGACGCAACGTACCACTGGATCGATTACTAATGCAGGAGATGGCGTACCCATTACGGAAGGTAGTTGTATGATAATAAAGCGGGAATATATTTCATGACAAAACAATTTCGAAAATATAAAGCCAGATTGTTTTCTATGCATGGATGATTTTAATTTTTTCTTAAAACCTTTTCTTTAATATAGCTACTCTACTGTAGCCTGGGTTTGACCCCCGGGGCTTATTAGGCAATCCCCTTTCTACTGTACATATATAGCTTCTGTATTTTGAAAGACATATTTTTAGAATGACTAATCGTTATAGTGATCGTAACAAAGATCAGTGTAAATGGAATTAATCTGGTGTCTCTTTACTAAACATTTCAGAATATGTGACAAGTCTGGAAAAAGAACTGAATTCGAGAAGTGAAGGCGAGAAACTGCGAACTGACCCAATCCATGGCTAATACAAATGCTAAAACTGAAAATACTGAGCCAACTTACGTTTTAGATGGAAGTAAGGATAATGTTCATGTAAGAGGTCTGGTGGGACAGCTGAACAGCACAATCGGTAAGTGGTACATAACAAAGCTCAACTGTACAACAGCAGTTCAAAAAGTTACAAAGCTTAAACATAGCGTCATTAAAATGAAACATTACCTCATCCCCCGCATACCCAGCAGTTTTCATTGTGTTATCTGAATAGTTATAGTTGAACGTTGAATTAGTTTTCTGTCTCTAATGTCAAATTTTAACCTACAATGTCCTGAATAATTTCTGCGGGTTTTCACTCCGCGCGCGGGTAGCATAAAACACAACCCCTACATTGCCTCGATCTGCTGATTTATTACACCGAGTTACATAACTGTTCACTATCTTTACTGCAAATATTTCCGTTAACTCAAATATTTGACTTTTAAGTTGCGTAATTCTGTGGGTCAATAAAAAAACACTAGCATGTTGATTAGCCCTGAGAATTTACCCGAGTGAAAATTTGAAAAAAATGCCTGTATTTTTTTGCAAGACATGATTGGAGTATCAAGGATTAAGATTTTTGTAAGAGCTGATATTCCAATCGCATTGTACTATTGACCATGGTAACTTAAATTGTGGGAATCGCACAAAAGGCATTCTGTATTAACCGACTAGAATCTCAGATAAGGTATATAATACAATTGTCTATTTCACAATATATCTTCTTGCACGTCTTTAGGTAGTTTACGCCAAGAGAAATTAGATCTTACATCTCAATTGGGAAAATGTGAAGCAACTATCGTTCGTCTTCAAGGTTTACTTCATCATTCTTCAGAAGAGGTGAGTCTTCTTCTCTAAATGGCTATAGGCTTCTGTTTCAACGCACTTGTATTTTTATCCGTCATCGCTGAGAATGTTTGTGATATATGTTCTCGTATTTTTATTGTGTGTATTTATTAGCAGTAACATATGTCGTGCCGATAAATTTAGTCTATAGTGTAAATGGGTCTGTTATTCGAGTGCTACATTCCTGGATTTTAGAAAACTGTGTCGAGCATTGATGTCTGATGATCAACGCTTTTTCTCTTTTCAGGTTCGTCAGAAGCAACTAAACATTGATCAACTTCACTATCAGTTGACAATAGAGAGTCGTCCGGCCAACGAAGAAATGAATGCTTTGAAGCAGCAGAACTCTGATCTCAAGCTGCAGGTAACCCAAGCAAGACACAAGGCTGACGGATTTTATAAAACGGGTTTGGAGAGAAATATTGATACTGTATCATTAGGAAACCAGGTTAGTTCGTGGTTTGATGATACTGTTAAATAACTAGATCGCATATGCAAAATGGAAATAATCCAATACATTTTAAAGCTTAAAGCTATGTCGGAATTTAGAAAATATATCCAAGTTCATTTATATTTATTAATTTTGCAGTATCTTATGGTAGTTTTTCAGTTTTTGTCGAAGTTTGACATGTATGTATGTGATATATTATTGATAATTGGTGATAAAGTGACCAACCTTACGATAAATTAATATATGCTAATCACTGAGTAGCGTTTACGCGTGCGGAATACGAGTGTTGGGCTACCTATGGTTTTACCAAAAATCTTTGTATTGATTAAGAAATAACTTTCTCTTTATAATCAGTGATAACAAAATTTGTAAGTCCCACTCAATGATTGTGAGTGTAACACAGCCTACATGCGATAGTGTGGATAGTGAAGAATTACTGATAATTGTTTGATGTTTATCTGTTTTGAGAGCGTAATGTCCGAAATTTTTGTATTCGGTGTTTATAGACAGAAAGTCGAGTTTCGGCAGAGATCGTTTATGCAAGTATGGGTTAATGTTTGTCGCAGATAAACTACCCGAGGTAGAAGTATTACCAACATCTAGTCAAGAATTGTGTGACAGGCAGGGGATGATTGCTTTTTCTTATTGGAATTGCTTTTCTGCTGTTGTCAGCATTAAAATTGGATCTTGCCAGTCACGGAAAACCTTTGAATACGTACAATCTAGAAAGTCAGTTTATACAAGACCTTCGAGAGAATGGTGAGTGTACTTTCTGACGCTTTTGAAATATTATCTTTATTCGTGTTTAGAATCTTAAGAATCACGACTGCCGTAGAACATTCTAAATCTACTGAATTAAAACGTATAGATTGTAATGTAACCCAATTAAACACTGTCGGTTGTTAGACTCCGGGCCCCAGAACACCGCTGAAAAACGTCTGCGCGCACGCTAACCGGTAAAAAGGAATATGGTGGAATAATATGAAAATTTCAATAGGAACTGTTGAAACAAAACATGCGTGTTCATTGATAAGATATAAGTTAAACTTACGCGAAAATGTACCGAAAACGAGTGGACTAAACATTCGTTTAATGCGTCCTGGCATTTAAGTATGAAATGAAATTATTTTGCAGAGCGTCTTTAAAACATTTTTGATTAATTGTTAAGAACAAAAGTTTAAACCTATATTATAGAAGTTGAAAAAAACCGCAATTATTGAGAACCGGCACGAAAATTTCTCGTTTCTCCGCAGCGTGCCCGCTTTGGCATTATGAGAGATGCTGAGATAAGTAATCTCGTGGTAAAATCGATTATATTTAGTGTACTGCTGTCACCGTTTCGATCTTAGAATCTTATTCTATCGTTATATTAGGAGGAAAAAGATCGCCTTCAATAGACCTTTTTCATAAGGACGTCAAACGCGGAAAGTCTCATGTTACACGAAGTTTGATTGGCTCGAGAGTTTTGTGGAGTCAATTAAATTTCGTGTAACATCAGACTTCCCGCGTTTGACGTCATTATAAGAAAGGTCTATTGAAGCAAGTCAATCATCAAAAGATCCGCAGAATGTGGCGCAAACATCCCGATCCCAACTACGGGGTTTGGAACAGTTGCAATATAACCGGCTTCTTGACGTATATGTATAACGATACTGAACAATGTTTATGACTTGTTCTTTATAAATCAATATGTATAATAATTCATTGTGTTTTGTTGTCTTCTATTGTTATCATCAATCAATAGCACCCCTCAAACTTGGGCATGGTAAATAATGAAACTTCTTGTGTATTCTCATAGTTGAGCTACGCGGTAAAAATGTTTAGAACTGAATCAAACCAATTCCGTCGTTCTAGACTCTAGGGTTAAAACCTAGTTTGTTATCGTTTTTACAATAATCGTCTGTTTTCTACCATTGCATTTGTCTGGTCTGGGTAACTATAGTGATTTAAGATTCCTACAAGTCTTTTTTCACTCAGAGTAACTTGGCTTCTAATAAATATGACATGAAAAGATTTTTATATTTTTTCCATGCATGCTATACATCGTCTTTATTGTGAGCGATGAAATATGCGAAAAAGAACACTTCCCGCGTTCTGCACTTGGCTTGTTGGTCTAGTGGTATGATTCTCGCGTGGGGTGCGAAAGGTCACGGGTCCGATTCCCGTGCAAGCCCTGTTCGCCCCTCACGATTGAAAGAGAACAGCCTTTGACAATAATTTGCTGATGGGCTAATTATGTTGTTATTTCTCCTGAAAAAATGGGGTACGTGTTCTCGTTGAAACATTAGACGCACTCTCAACTTAATTTTGCATGAATGCTACTATATCAACAGTGTCCACGAGTGCCTCTTTAGCTCAGTGGTTAGAGCTCTGGTCTTGTAAACCAGGGGTCCAGAGTTCAAATCTCTGACGAGGCTCTTCACATTTTCCACCTAAACTCAATGAGCATTTAATTTCTATAATAATTCATTGTGGTTTTTTTACAGTTTGTGCCAAAAATGCAATTGTTAGAGTTTGAATGCCCAAGCACTCTGTTGGGACCCACAGGTGTATAAATGTTTACTATACTCATTTTTATGCATGCATATGATGCAGTAAAATTTGCTTGTTCGCAAAAATGATATTTACTAACAATATTTACAATTAACAAATATGGATAACATTATTTAAATGTGCATGTCAAGGACCATGACCTTCGACATGTCCCCTTTCTCTAGCAACACAAAGCATTTAGCATTTTATAAGTTGCATTAAATCCCCACGGGCTGAAATTCGTGAAAACGGCATTCAAATTTTAACAATGAGTGATTTCAATAGTTTTCGTTTTTTTGGGACACCCTGTATTGTTATCATCAACCAATAGCAAAGCTTGTTCATATAGGGTAACTACCTAACCCTAAAATTGGGCATGGTAAATAATGAAACTTCTTTTGTAGGCTCATCTTATATATATTCTAATTTGAAATAAAAAAGCGTGTAATATATGATACCTTAGAGAATAACTGAAATAAAAACTTAACGTCCATGACCAAAACCGCTCATGCTCGAAATCGGAATTAGTAACCATTGATTGCAGTTGAATTGCTATCTCGGATATGCTGCTGAATCACTGATGCATGATCTGTTTACACGCCCTGTGAACTGCCTGATTTCTATCAATAATCAATTCCTATGATAAAATCTTCCGCCAACCGTCACCGCGAGTTCTACGAGACCCTTTACTTTTTCTCAGTCTTATTATAATTACCGAACTCGGCTGGCGAATGAAAAGCAGTTGGGAAGGCACACCAATTCCAGAAAACCTATTAATGTGCCCACGACGTAAAATGTGTAGTAAAATCAACAGCTAAGTTTCAAGCTATCAGTGGTAAAGCAAAATAAGCGATTATTAAAGCAATTATGTAGTAGTGGCCGAGTGGTTAAGGCGACAGACTAGAAATCCGTTGGGATATTCCCGCGCAGGTTTAAATCCTGCAGACTACGACTTTTGTTATTCGGAAAGATCTTCATTTAACACGGAGAAATCAAAGGCAAAATCCTAGCGTACATTTTTCAGTTGTACAAGGTTGATACTTACATTAAGTTGAGAGAGTGCATTTAATGTTTGAACGAGAACACGTACCACATTTTTTT